ACACTGAATGTAATAATTGTGTAATTTTTGTGCAATTTTTGCATAATATTACACTATTTATGTAAGTTTATGGCGGGACCCATAATATTATGTAAATTTATGGTGGGAAAAGTTTCCTGATGCCATATGATGCAAGATGCAAATTGTGTCAGTGTCAATGTGTCACATAATGTTAATTGCATCACACGACTTTTAATTTTGACAATATGTATAGATAAAATTATTGAATGCAATCTTTGTTTTATGTGTAAATTTTTTATAAAATTATCAAGTGTAATTTTACATGTGTAATTTATATAAAACAGTTATGAGTGAAAGTTTACATGTACAAATTTTATAAAAAATTAAATGTGTAATTTTATGTGTGTAATTTTGTAAAACAATTTTATAAACTTTTTAAATTAAATGCATATGTGAATTTTAAGTGAGATTTGCATAAAAGTTGCACAAAAATTGCATAATTTTTATATAAGTGTAAAATTTACACGGTTTTACATACATTTTAATTTCCTGATGTCATCCTGTAATATACCACTTAAGCTATTTTCCATCTTTAATTCAAGGTAACTTTTAACAAATGTGAACTCTTCTACCCAGCTCGAATTTAGTGCAAGTTGTGCTAGCAGCCACTTTTCTGGTGTATCTTGAGACCATAATTGGTGATAAAGGAGGACAATGGAATGTGCGACTATGTCAATTAATATTTGATATCAGACATTTGATACAAGATTTTGATCTTTATTTTCCATTGGGTGACTAATTTTGATAGTTTCTAATAATTTTTTTCCAGCCATCTCCATATGTTCTTTTGGAAATACCCACTGCTTCAATATAAATAGACCAATGTTGATATCCTACACCAATACATGCAGATGTTTTTCCAGCACCAGCATCAGGAAACTTTTCCTGTCGTAATATTACATCTGTAAGTTTTAATATGAAATGTCATAATATTTCACATAAAAAGGACGTAATATTTACACTGAATGTAATAATTGCATAATATTACACTATTTACATAAGTTTATGGTGGGCCCCATAATATTATGTAAATTTGCGTCAGAAAAAATTTCCTGATGAGTTACTCCTGCCAGAAAGAGTTTGAGTGCTAGGAAATTTCAAAAGTTACAATATTTCCAATATTGGAGTTTGTATAGGTTGGTCATCTTCAAAGAATGGATTGTTGTTTGGAATATTTAAATCAATGTCATTGTTGAAAACAGGAGGTATCTTATACAAGAGAGAACATGATGGGTCGTCGTCATTTAATTGAGTTTTACACATGTGAATTACCTCTTCGTTTGATGATTGGCTATGCAATTTAAAGTTCTTTAATTTCATCATTGTCATCAATTCTTTTGCAAACAATCTGACAATTTGATGCTATATGTATAATGTGATAAATGTTAGTTATTTTACAACAACTTTATATAAAAATAATTTCATTAAAATATTTTCATTTTTACCCCAATCCAGGGTTGGCAAATGTGCAGTCCATTGATGGTCTATTGGTGGTCCATTGGATCCATTAGTGTAACACTTTAACCATATTTAGTATTTCATTAATGGCAATGGACCAATCCAAAATCCATTTATTCTCAATGGACCAGTCAATTTGCCAACCCTGCCTCAATCTGATCTGGCCATCCATGTGGTAAGAGTTACAATATTATCTAAACACAAAGTACATGACAAAATACAAATGTATCATAACAAGGTGTTTGATGTTTTTGATAAGAAATAAACAATGTTAGGTATGGAAGTGAAAGGGTAGAAGAAGGAAAAAATATATAAATGCTCATTATAAAAATAATCAATCTTACCTAATTATATAGCATATAATATTTATAATTAATGAAAAAATCAATCCAATATAATATAAATTTAATTATAAAATAGATAATTAGATAAACAAAATGTAATTATATTATTAAACTCCAATATATGCATATTCATTGTGAAATTCTTACCTTTCTGATTTTCTAAGAAAAGCAATCTTTTTTTTAATAGAATAATTTCAGCTTCTAATTGTTTATTTGTGGCATATTTATTCTCCTGTAAATTAGGAATAGGATTAATATCAAAATAGTTAGTTTTACTAATCAAAAAAAATATACATTACTTTATCTTCCTTGCAAATTTTCTTGTTTGTAATTTCTTTAGGCGAATTGCTTGTTTTTAGAATTTTTTAAAAAAATAAATTAATTGATATACTAGAGTGACAATGAGTGGCGATAACCACCACTATCATCCTTAAAACACTTTTGATTTATTTTTCTTCTTTTGTTGCCCAAAATCGAAGACATTCTTATAAAAATAATTTTTTATTTTAAAAAAAAAAAAAAAGAAAATCAATATCTATATTATTAATATTAAATCTCTAGAGTCTGTCACTTATTGCAGGATTGATTGGCCAGTTCCAAGTGTTGTGATCTTATTGTGTAAAGCATAGTGGAAGTTTGTTGTTACACTAAATGTTATACAGGACTCATTGCTCCTGAAACTTCACCAGTATATTGTTGTCATCTCTCTATATTGGAGATCAAGTTCAGATCCAATTCAAATCCAGTTTATCACTTACTTTTTATTGCCAGAATGTTTGCCGTATATTGTAAAGCTACGTTGCACGATATAAAAAATTTCAAATTTCCACTATGCTATTGTGTAATACAGTCAGATGTTTTCCAAATTTGGAAAAAATCCTGACTAATAGTTTTTTTTTATAATAATTTATGGAATGGCCTACCTCTGAAAATTCTCTCATGTTTTATATATTGTCTATAACGGCCGACGATCATGATCTGAGGTAATCATTACCAAATTAAGAAATTTAGTCAGTGTGTCACGCACAACTTTTATTTAAATAATTCGAACGCACTATGCATTTGTCAACATTACTTCATATTTATCATCATCCTTTGCAGTCACAATATATTATTCGTATTTGATGAAGGTTCATAAAAAAGCAGAATGTTATTATGACTTACTGTATGACTTTAATGTTAATTCATAAGTTTTGCTGTAATAATTATTTGTAAACATGACCTAAGAAAAGTCAACCTCCTTATGACTTCATAAACATTTCAAAACGTATATAAAGACCCTATTTTGCTCGACCAACAATCAGAATTAAATTAGGACGATTTTAAATTATTGAAAGTCTTAAAAGAAAAATTAAAAAAATTGATTTTAACTCACAACTAAAATAGCTTTTTGAATATTGAATAAGTGTGCAAATTATAAATAGTTTAGTTCCATTTATTTCATTTATTTTTTTAAATATATTTTTATTGTATAAAATAAAAATATATATTATAATCTATCACATGACTATGATCTGCAAACTCTCTATAACGGTCCTTTTTTGCCAAATCAGGCGGGCCATTATAGAAAGAGTGAATTGTAATCATGATTCAAATTTTATTTCTTCAAACAATTTATTCTTTTAATTTTCCAATGTCATTTTCTGTTCTGAAAGATTATTAATTGAGAATTTATTGGCTCTGTGGGTATGTTGTATATGTTTGAAACTTGCTATTTACAGTAAGCCTTTTGTTGCTTCTCTAATCAATACTAGCATACTATGTTTAATAATTCTGACATTGCAAAAAAAAAGTCAAGAGGTCAACTAGCATTTTACACCAATTACAACCCTGGACAACCATATCAGAGGTTACATGTAAAGCTACGTGTATTAGTAAAACCTAAGAAAATTTACACTTTTATTTTAAAATCGCAATTTCATTTAATTAATCGGAATTTCTTGATTATTCAACAACGTGTGTGCATAGTTCGTGTAACATCTACTATTAAAAAATAATCAATTACAGATGTTTAATTTCCTCTTTTAGTAAACAATCAATATACTCTTGCTTTTGTCATATTCATTCTCTAACCTTTTCTTCCACCAATTAATCCAATTAATTCAAAGTCTAAAAAATTTTTTTTTATATAAATAAATAAAAAAAACATGCTTTCACATCATCCTTCTTTCTCTTCCTTTTCCTCTAATACCAATAAAAAATATATCCACAAGTAATTTATTTTATATTGAAAATAATAAAAATATGTAAGATTCATTTTTTATGATTAAATAAATGTAATTAATTAATTAATATTCACAGATGTATTGACAATTAAACAATATCAATAATATATTTATTAATTAGTTCATAATGAATGTTGACAAGGCAAAAGAATTACAAGAAATTGTTAAACTCTTAACAGAAAAACCTATAATAGATCATTCAAAAGTAAAAGATATTTATGAGGTAAAAATAAACCTTTTTTTATATTCTAACATTTCCACCTGAATTTGAAGTGGCTTATAAATATATAATCATATATATATACATGTATCCATAAATATCAATGTTTAGGTTGCAAAAAAATTAAGAATAGGGCTTCAATTTGCTTATTTTAAAGTAAAATGGGGTTTACAAAAATGTGATATATCAATGTGTGAAAGAATGGTAAAACAGAAATTAGAAGATTATAAAAATTATCCAAATAAGCAAAGAACACATCTTCCATTTAATGTTTCTCCTGTACCTCCATCAAAAAATAGATTTACAGATGAAAAAGCTAAAGCTGTCTTTGAAATACTTGATTCATTAGTAAATCGACCTGGATCATCATCATCTAACATTAATAATATTAACAACAATAGGAATGATAATAATAACAAAAATAATAAACAACATTTAAATCATAATGATGAAATCTCTTCTTCAATAGGTAATCAATCAATCAATCAATCAATCAATTTGTTAACTTTATTCATTTATTTATTTGATCTTAATGATATTATTTTTTTTTGGCTTATTATTATTATTTTATCATCATATCAAGAATTAGCTTCACTACCATCGTTTGATACATATTCTCTTGAACAAGATTTACCTCCATTTTTTCCAATAGGGATGAATCTTAGTTCCATAGAACTCTATTTAAATTCAATAGGAAGAAATTATGTATCAGATAGATTTAATAATAACAACAACAATAATCAACATATTAATAATTACATGATTAACAATAATTGTCACTATCAACATAAACATCAACATAATAATGATAATCATAATCATCATCATCACTTGTGGACATTAATGGACCTTGGATCACCAACAATAACAAACTCTTCTTTATCATCATCACGTAGAAGGAAAGTAGATTGGGGTGAAGATTTAAACCCTGCCACTAAATACCAAAAAATTCAAAAAACAACTTTTAGTCCATGGAAGGAAAACAATGGTGCTTCTTCATCTTCATCTTCATCTTCTTCAAAGGATTTGATTGAATGTCCAAGAACACCACCAAACCAAATTCGATCAATTAATGATATGAAAACACCAGATACTGCATTTTCATTAAGTGAATATTTGAATATGTCTCCTATGCAATAGTAAATATATATATTTTTTTTTTTTTTAACAAAAGCATTTTATGATTTCTTAATATTTTCTTATTTCAAATGTATAAAATCGAAGAATAATTATAAATAAAAATTAATGATTAAGCAAAATTAAATAATATTTATCTATGTACTTTTTTATTTGTTATTGACATCATCACAATATTATTTTAAAATAGTGTATATATGCATGTGTTTAATTTAATTAAATAAAAGTTCTTTTATAAAATAATAATATTTTTCTGGTAATATATTTAAATTTTTCGAATAAAAGTTAATTTGTCATAATTATCTCCGAAAAGAAGAATAGTTATCTTTACCCCAAAAAAGTTGATATATAGTTGTGATTGCTCAAATTGTTTATGACGAGGAGCCACTTTCATCATCAATCATCATCATTTATCTACTTCTTCTTGAGCATTATTTATTTATAAAATGTCAAATTTTATTTATTTGATTAAATAATCCATAAACATGAGATGGAATAATAAATACCTCCACCACCCAAAAATTGTTCCAATGACACATGACCTGAATTATGATTTGCTGCAACATTCAACTAAACAAGTGATTGATTGATATTAACAGAAAGAAATTAGTTAATATACATTCTACGCATAAAATTTATATTATTTATTAATTTACTTTATTGTTTGTTTTTATCTTGGTACAATTTAAATCATTGATTCCATTTTCTTGATTCAACGAAGTTTTCATCATTGTTGCAAGTTCAGCAAATTCGGAATCTAATACTGAGTTCCCAGAATCCGAACTATTCTCAGAGTCATCATTTTCTTCATTATCAGATGAACTACCACCACTGCTACTATTATCGGATGAAGCTGAATCTGATGAATTATTATAACCATGTTTTCTACCATTGCCATCACCATCATCATCGTAGATGTCTTATATTTTGTATTGTGTTAGGTACTACTACTTCTAAATAATCTTCCATCCATGGATTGTCATTATCTTCATCCACTTCCTATCATTATCGCTGTCATTATCATTATTAGGATCAACATCAGCACTGTAATTATACTCTACTTCTTCAACCATTCCATCATCTTCGGATGATTGTCTCATAGTGAAATCAAATTCTTTAGCATATTCTTGTAGTTCACTAGATGTTTCAAAGTTATCAAACTCGCCTTTACTAACATGGTAACTAGATCCCACCATTTCTAATGACCATGTCTAAGTTCAAAATAAAAATAATAAATTTCAATCAACAGTTGTTAATATTAATATTAATTCTATTTATAAAAATAATAATAAAAAAAAGATTTACATTTGTTTCCTCATCAAAAATCTTTTAATGGCTTCCGAATCATAAGTATTATTATGACTCTATCTTCAACCAAATGTCTTGTTAATTTTAATGGACCCTATACCTAAAATTCAAACACAAGTACATAAATAAACGCACATACATATTGATTGTTTAAAAGAACTAGTCTAGTAGTAAAGCATTGAGGCTAACCCCTTTTTTGTTCATTATAATTAATTGAAAATGTTTCTTTACTCTCAGCAAATTTTATAGTTGCCTCATTTGTAAAATCTATATCCTCTGTATCAACTTCAACTAAATAATATTATGTATAATAAATACTTGTTTATAATAAATAATAAAATATAAAGTATAAATAAATTTACATGTAAATTGATAATATAAAGGTCGATTGCGATTCTTAAAATTTGTGTCCCGATTCGAAATTCAAATTCTCCGCCAAATTTGTTAATTATTTCTTGATGCTCAGTTTCTGCTAAAGTCAACATTGTATTTTTCAATATATATACAGTATATAAAGTACGCGTAAAAAAGGTAATGAATGAGTGAATTAATGATCTGCGGGGTGCATTCCTACATTTTTAATATAATAATAATAATGGTTCGTAACATCGTATTACACATTTTGATAAAATAATTAAATATTGACAAATAGACCGGTATAAATCTATCTTCTTAAACCAAGGCTTCTTCCTTTAACTCTTTACACATTATTTTAGAATTGGTTTGAAAATTAGTATGTCACTTACAAATTTGTTGAATAAAAATATTTCTATTTTTGATTCGTGTCACATCGAAATTTTTTAAAATTTACGTTGTAATAAAGTTTAAAAAGGTTTAAACAAAAAGTTCATCCCTAACCTATTTGATACATTATGTAATTCTTTCCCAATTACAGTCTTTTAAAGTTCATCATCGTGGAAATCATGGAAAATTTTTCTCCTATCACTTTATCAGATTTTTCTTTCATCCGTTCCTAAATTAATGTTATTGGTGTGTGTTACCTCTAATGAATTACGCATCGTTTTGAATGCAACTAAAGACGAATATGTAAAGATTCAAAGTAGATCAATAACAAGAGATTATAATCGAGTTGAAAAAA